CGACGGGACGCGTTTCGAAGAAACTCGTTCTTTTCCATTCGAGTGCGCCAACTGGGACCGTGCACGATAGCAGTGCACGAGCAACAAGTGTGGGAATCGTCGAGCCACCAGGCTACAGTGACACTAATGACGTTAACGACACGAGGATAATACGTCGCGTGAAACGTTGGCAAGGACACGTGTACCGGTGTCGGTAACGAGATTTTAATTGTCGATTCGCTTTGATTAATCTCGTTAGAACGAAATCTGAACTGAGAAATTGAATTTCAACGCACGCGGGAATGTATCACCGAATGTATGTACCAGAGATTCTGTTTCGTATTTCGATGCAGAAGGTAGAAATGGTTTAAAACGATCGCGTTAATTGCCGCGAGGATAATTTATGAATCCGTGCGTCGGGTATATGTTAATAAAGCTGCGGTTGCGCCGGGCATGCTTTTAATTCTTTCGCCGATGGAGAAAGAAGCGCGGATACGTACGGGTATTTTATAAGCGCACCCTCCGAGGGGTCAACCCGTAATTACGCAAGTACGAACGCAAGGTTCGCGGAGGCGAGGAGACAATGCGAGGAGAGATAGCGCGATATCGGTGAGACATCGCGCGAGAAAAAATTCTTCATTGTCCGAGGAATGTGGGCGTATCGCGCGGGACATCTAATCGATAAGGAGGAAAATCTCGCGCGTAAAAGAGAATTACAAAAAGTCACTCGCCACGGTGCATATGGATATCGTTAACGTTTCGCTTAACGATGAAACGAATCGAAGTGAGGGAATAGAAAGAACTCTGTGAAACTATGAAACAAGAAAGAACGAACAACAAAATTGTCTTCTTATATTATTTCGCAAATTGTGAAAGTTTATTCTCAATGACGTTCTTAAATTTCATTAAAAACTGATAAGAATAAAATAAAAATATATTCGAACGTTGAAGAATATCGACAGCTGATAAAATGGGGAACACGAGATCGCAACCTTGCCAACAACGCAAGTCACCATACCTGTTCTACCTTATCCATAGAACATGGAGCATCGTGACTGATCATCGGAAGGGACATGGACGCACCGACGATATCGACGGAGAAACTGATTTATCGTCGAGGTGCAGTGGGTGCAACCGATGCGATTTCGGACAAGACAGTCTTATTTTCGACAGGTAAGTCAGATTTCTATTATAGCAGAGACAATGTAGAAAGTAACAAACTTAACATAAACGAAGGGGAGGATTTCAAAAATGAAGATGATACGTAAAAACGAGATAGGAATCTATGCTTGTGAATCAATGAAACTATTTAATAAACATTTATGTACTTATTATAATTGCGATTGTACTGAATGCAGTCAATCTGTTATATTGTCTTTATATACCAAATAATATTGATTATTATATTAGAGTACTATGAAAGTTTGTTTTATAAACAAATTTACAAATTTTGTATAGAAACATTTATACTTTCACTGGTATAGTAATATGACATCTTATTTAAATCTTAATATATTTAAACACCAAATTCTTGGTACACATTTAAATAAATAAAATAATTAAGAACGAAACTTCCAAAATTTTACTTACGTAATGTGGTAATAAGTGTACTTACATTTAAATGATTATGAAAATCTAATGCAGCTATATTAAAGGCTGCTGGCAACCATCTCTATGCAGCTGTATCAGATGATTCAAGAAAATACTTCCACAATTTCAATGGAATTTGAGCATTTAATAAATGCAACTCTACTTAAAGAAACGCGACTAATTGAAAAAGTAATTGAAACGTAACTAAAAATGTTAATCGCAATTGTTTTGTAATTCACAACATTAAAACAATCACAAATATTATTACATCGCAATTCTAATATAGATCTCTAATAATTAATTTCTCAAAATATTAATAAAGAAACGCGATTTTCTCAATGGTAACAAGTCGACATATTATACATTGGTCAAAAAGAATTAAACAATATATACTGTCACTACATATTACAAATAAGAAGTAAGAAGAAGAAAGAAGAAATGTCACAAAATATTTATATTTTATAATCTATTTTATAATCTTTATTTATATTTTATAACCTATTAATAATAATGATATTAATAAAGAGAGAGAATTATTTATTAAAAAATTAAAATAATATTAATCGTATTTGCAGGTTTTTAAAATTTCTTTATTTCTTTAGATTGTCTCTGAGCCCTACATTTTTAAATGTTCTAGTAAAGTAAAATAATATTAAGCCTGCTGCATTATTTTCATTATTTTTGACTTGTATTTGTATTGTATTTTTCTAATATGAAAAAATGTTTCTAATTTGATGAAAATCTGAAGAAGTTCTTATTAATATCTGTATATAATTTTTCAATTAAATTTTATGTTAAACCTGTTCCTAAAACATTATAAATTATCCTTGTTTACCAAAATGATAGCAAACTTGAAATACAAAAATTTGAAGATTGAATTAACTTGCTGTTCAATAAAACTATTTTGTGACATATCTTGTTTCTACATCTTATTCTTTAAATACTAAAAGCGAACGAGAATGCCCTTTAAATACTTAAAGTAATAACAAGCCACACAATGACTATTCATGGATGAATTTTCCAATAAATAAAACAGACAAAAAATATTACTACTCTCACAGATATAATAAATATTTACAGTCATTATGTTCGTCAAAAATTCTACAATATAATACAACTAATCACTCATGCCAGTTCGGATCTTTCATGCGACATGAATGAGTGATCAGAGGAACAAAAATGCATGCGACTCACATTCAGATGCAACACTGTCATTAATGTAGTAGTAAATCAGCAAACATCAAGGAGAAACCAGAAGAAATCTATAATAAAGCATATTATAATTTGTTCGTAAAAACCATGTTAATTATTTGAAATTATTTGAAATAATGAAACATTTAACATAATATTGGTAATTAATCATAATCATGATCATAACCAATTTAATTAATTAATTAAAAATAATAAATAAAAATAAAAAATTTTAAAAAAATAAAAAAAATAATTTTAAAAAAATAAAAAAATTTTTTTAAATTTTAATTTATCAAATCAGATCCTAATTCTTAATTAATAATAATTAACGCATACTACAAGTATATTTCCCAATATTGTCAAATATCTATGAATATTCTATAACGCAACCAATTTACGAAGATTGAAAGTTTAAAATATATTTCGTACTAATCAAATATGGCGCGTTTTATTTGTCAGTTAAACGAAGCTGCGCAGTACAAACGCGCAGCACAAGTTTAAACTTGTCTTTGACTTTAACAATGCACGATTGAATATTAAATAAATGTTAAAAATTATCCAATGAAAGGAGGAAATAAATGTACAAATATATCTCTGACATCATTAGAATGAATCAAACGATCCATACCTCTTAAAATTATCATTAATTAGCAGGCATGGCGTCCTTCTAAAACTTAAAAATTTCCCTCGTAGTCAACTTGTAATCTATACAAAAGAAAACCAAATTCTTTTTACTTAAATGTAGAATAAAGAAAAAAGGATACCAAAGAAAAAAGGATAATCAAATAATAGATTAATAAATTATGAAATCAGAACATACGTTAATTAAATGAAGATTAACATCTGTCGCGGAGTGACACTACCACACATCCAATCGCACTGATTTTCGACATTAGACTGACACCCCGCGTCCCGCGTCGTGATTTGCTGGACGAATTTCAGCCGTAAGGAGTGGGGGAAGCTAGTCAGCAAACCAAGTATGTATATATATATATATACAATTAACAGTCGTCAAATTCCTAGAAAATGCTCAAGAATATATAAATAAAAACAAATAATATTCTAAATAAAGAAATAATACGTTTGATTGAAATAATACGCAGAATTTGGTTAGAAACTAAACATCTGTGAGCTAAAATAACAGACGATAATTGATTACAAGTGAACGAACAAAATTTATGTGCAAATTTGAAACATGGCTTCGTGTGCTTAGAAATTTAATGTGTATACGAGTTTATACGAAGTTCAATATATGTGCATATTTCAGTTTGATTATTTGTCGATTAATGTATAAAAAATATGGAGATAATAACCTTTACATCAAAGTAAAATAATATCTCGAGACGGAAATTTGTAACTAATCATATACATGCAAGTATGTAAGTATATATATATCATATTTCTTTATATACCATTCGTATTAGAACTTTCATTAAATACTGTTATTTATGTGTAATATTAATTTACTGTTATTAATTATAAGATCGAATAGAATAAGACTTTAATATTAGATTTAAGGTTAGATTAGCGTTAAAGCAACACATGATAAAAGTTGATTATTGCTTAGAAAATTAAACGATTATTTAGTTTGATATACGAAAGAAAAGAAAAGAAATGAAACAAAAGAAAGTAAAGAAGATTAAAAAAGAGACTATCGGGGATATGAAAGGGAATGTAATGATAAAGAGAAGAGTTAAGACTAGTGAAGAAAATAAAAGGGAAAAGTGACCAAAGAGGGAAAGAAATAAGAGAAAAGAAAAAACTATCGTGAAAGGAAAAGGAAGTAGATTACTTATGTACAATGTACTTCGTCTGCAATTATAACATGGAATAGTCCAAAATTCCAATGCACTTTTGTGTCATACGTCTCGCACCTTACCGTCAAAATATCATTCCAACGTTACCGATTTAGCATAGAATAAAATTGCGACATTTATAACGAATATAATCGTAATTAAATTTTGATATAAAATTACAAACAAGATATAGAATAAATAACTTGTAAGCAGGGTATAGATTTTCATGTTTCTGCAATCTTTATTCATTCGTGTTATAAAATTCCGTATCCGATGCATAGTAATATTTTACGTAAAAAATACATCTTAATTTTTTATCGATACAATCGTGATGGGTATTTTAATATCGTAGTCGTATTTTTTTAAAATTTTGCATCTTCTGTTGAATTAAATTCGTAGCGACACCTGACATCTCGCGGCCATGTTCAGTATTACTCTAATAGACTCGTCCGTTAGAACGTTAAGCGAAAAATTCGTATTTTTCCTAATCTTTCTCTTATTATTTCATCATCGTATTCCAACATTTAATATGCGGTAAGCAAAGCAATAACATGTATACTAGAAGCATAAAACTATTTTATAAAGTGTTCTCTCGATAACCGCGATAACGTGATATTTGTACTTGTTTAAAATTTTACAATCCTCATTCTTTTTTTTGTATATTATCAGGTAAACGTCATAGAGTGGAAGTAAATGTGATCAAAGGCGACATTGGAAATCAGAAATTTAATAAACAGTAATAAAATCTCGTTCACGGATCGGATTCCTTCGTGATAACGCTGAATATTTTTTCGATGCAATAACTGTTGGAGTTGGCGGTCATCTCGCGTCACTGACGAAGATTGCTTACTCTGAAAGCTAGTTCTACCACTTGACGTCCGTCTCGTGTTTATCCTACGTGCATACGGTAAGAAAACGGCTGAATATCGACTAACATAAGTACTCTTCGCGTTTGTCCTTTCTGCCCCTCTACGTGACGCATCACAGGATAAACTGAAACCTGGCTTACATTACGAGCAGGTGGAGGCGCCGGTGTCAGTAAACCTCCGGTCGCCTTAAAGAGCGGATCGCGTCAACGGATGTCCCGGCGAACGAAAGTTTGTGTCAGTTCCACTCGATTTTGACAATGAAAATTAATTTTCATCGTCGTCGTGCTAGTTTGTGAATGAATTTTATTTCACGTGCACATCGAGCCATGCATCGAGAAGGTTGAACGTGTGACTAACAGGAAATTCAGGTATTTATTTTTCCTTCGTATTATGTAATTTTGTTTTTCTTTTTTTAATTGAACTCGATTATATGCACGATGATAACCACAGCCGGTAGAAAATGTCGGAAGCGTTGAAATATGTACAAGGGCAGGTTTGCCTTGAAATTTGAATTAAAAGATTGAGAGTGTGTTGATACATGATACCGATAGGACGTGTTATCCAAGATGCGACGTCCTTTATTTTTTCGACCATTTCCCAAAGACGACGACGACGACAGGATCTCGTTTGAACTTCCTCCCCTTTAAAGGAAACGCCGGTTCTGGACTCTGACGATCCTTCTAATGTATTTTCAACCGTGAAAAAAAAAAAGCCTAACGAGACGACCAATTTCATTCACACACGGTCGACTGTAAAAAAGGAGCACGCAAAACCATCACAGGCCAGGGGTAGCTAGCCTTTTACTCGCATACGCACGCGTGACGAAGACGTCGGTTGCTGCTAATAAACCATGGCACGAGAATGCGTCTCAATGCTCGTGGTGAAAAAGACCGCTGATCGTTAGTTTTGTGCCAATTATGGCAATTATAAAATACCATGTTTTTTGTTCCTTTTCTTTTTCTTCATGCAAAATCACTCGGCACGTTTTCTCGCAGAATGATTACACCGACGTTACCCATTATATTCTCTGCAGTTTGTTGCGTACACAGTCGTGGAATACTATTGTTCTGCTGAATGAAAACCCGTGCACGGCGGGACGAGTTTGTTCAAAAAAAAAGAAAAAAGAAAAAAAAAAAACAAGCCGTGGAATCGGGACTATTATTCTTCCACGATCTATCCGCGATGAATAATAATTATGAAACGCTCCGTGGGACAATAGAAACTTGGCCGAATCGACGAAAGAGAATTGCGAATCTCGAGTAGCTAGGTCTTGAGCGTTAGCTAAAATTTCCCGCTCCGACTTCAATTAACGCTGTCGCGATTACTTTCTTTGTTGTCTACCTGTATATTGGCGACTAATAACTCAGGGAACGGATTGTTGCGTAACCGCGTGGGCGTGTACACGCAGGAGTCGTGCGAACCAGTAACGCGAATTATTTAGGCACGGAGAAATTAATGGTACAGGAATAGTCAGGCATAATAAATTAGTCGTTTCTTACCGGCTCGTTCTCCGGTACATAACGCGGAGAGCATTCACCTCCCGATGGCCATCAATTAATCACACGGTGAAAGAATCGTGTCAGGGACATTTCACGTATCTGTCGAACCTTTTGATAATCTTGGCTTAACCAATTAGAGATCAAGCAAGAATTTACTTAGATAATGTAAATATTTTAATTTCTTTAAATTTCTTGATAAAATTTCTTGATATAATGGAAAGAGTATTAAGCGAATCTTTGGGATTTCCTTTCACAACTTTTATGTTTTTATTTATTAATCCTTGAACAATATCGTTGAATTATTTATGTTCAGATTACTAAAATTCACAGTATTCTATTTGTATTTTGTATTTTTTATGATAGAGATTAGGAACGTAATTAAATAAAATTGAAAATTCCAAGATTATTACGGTTTTTAATGTGGTCTACTGATGCCGTTCAAGAGATAAAAAGTAGAATTTAATCATACGAATTGAAATACTGGATTAATACACCAAGACACTGCAGGTTTTTGAAAGTTTTTCCTCCTGCAAAAACTTACAATCTTCTTGCTCACACAAATCACCGAGAAAACAATCAATAATCAACACCAAATGTATTTATGTTAAATGCAAGTTATAGGGAACCACAAATCCCAAGGAACTGCAACAGCACATAAGGAAATTAACAAAAAAAAAAAAAAAAACAAAAAAAAAAAAAAAAAAGAAAACGTTTCACTGATCGCGCAAAGAGGCCACGAAATGGATCGTGAAATCGCGCGAACGTATCGGATCGGTTATATATAATATCGTTACGCCATTTGTGATTCTATTCTTGACGTGTGTACATTCCGCTCGGCGCGAATGCATACACGTATCCTCCCTTTTTATTTTCATTTTTCTCGACGAACGTAACCGGAATAATAAAAAACCTTTTCCGAAACGAGAACACGGAACACTCGTCGGCAAATTGATTCCTGTTTGATCGATCGTTTCACCGTTCGTGCTTTCATCGACGCGGAGAGACGCGATCCTTCTTTTCTTTTATTTAAAAATAAGAAAAAGTTTCAATTAAACGTTCGCAGGGCAGAAAACGACGCGGCAACAATAAGTTGCAGCTGGGACGGAGGAAGCCGATGAACGAGATGAAAATGACGAGGACCGTGCACCGTGCACCGGTGAAACCTCTCCTAAGTAGCTTGTTAATAAAATTATAGGGAGATCGATACACGAGTGCGCCATCGTGCACTTTGCCACCGAAGTGGACGTGTTCTCTGGCTGTTCACTCGACTTTTCCGTGATCCACTTTTGTCTAATTGTCTGTTGGAAACGTTTGGGAGGGGGAGAAGTGGCTGCAGGTTGGCGAAATTATCATTCTCTTGTTCACTTGGCAGGAATAAGTGAATTTTTCTGTCTAATCTCGAGGACTGTGCCACGCTGAAAAGCGTAGAAATTATTTACGACGTACATTTTTTCTTCTGTCCGTTGGTTGTAAAATTACACTGAAATTTTGCTGATTGTAAGTTACGTAAATTTAAAAATTGTGAGTTTAGTAAAAAAAATCAAAATATCGATTGTTGTAGCTAATATTGGTGTATATTGTTGTATTCTTTTAGAAAGAATTTATTGTATCCTTTAAAAAAGCAGTAAACTTTTAGAAATTATAATAACTTAACGTTTATTTGTTTTTATTAAAATATTATGAATTATAATAATTTAACAGGTAGACACTTCGCGTTAATTTCAAAGGTCGTGCTTAAATAAGAATTGTTGACGTGGCAACTTAGAAATTGTTATCATATTAGTTTCTATCCGCTGGTTACAAAATTACATTTAAACTTTGTTGATTATTAATATTAATAAATTGAAAATTAATATTAATACAAATTGAATACAAAAATTCCATTTGAAATTAATAAAATTATTATGTTAAGTCAAAAATTTATAAAACGACAAAAAAATGTAATTGTAAATTAATAATTATAGTTGTTGATAAAAAATAAAATTGGAATTTTATAGCTGTTAATAAAAAAAGAAATTTGTTGTTCATGATGATTTTTCGCATCAATAAATTGTTCAAATGGTGAAATGGAAATATTCTTAATTTTGAAAATAACATCAACGAGGAAAAAGTTTATTTAAAATTTAATAGACGCGTAACACCGGGTCGTAGACCGTGGAGGGGAGAGGGTAAAGTAGAATTATGCGATTCGCGTTCGCGGACTTTTTCTCAAGCCGGTGGCTAGATCTATCGGAGACGCTGACAAATGCGGTCGCCATTGCGCGAAGAAAAAACACGGGAACCGTTCTACAGGCTGTACCTACAAACAGCATTAACCCTAAGGGCCCCGTCCTTGAGTTTACGTGACCTCGTAATGGGTCGCGATTTTTCTACCAGCCGCGATAACGATTACAAATGGCGAGGCATTTTCGAGCTGGTGGGGGAAAAAACTGAACGAAACGAACGTCGGATACTTAAGAATCAGCTGTAATCAAACGCGTAGCCATTTTTTTTATAATTTATATAATTTATTACTACATAAATTATATTTATATAATTATAAGTATATTTGTATAATTATAAGTATATTTATATAATTATATAAATTATATTTATATAATTATTATTATATAATTATATTTATATAATTTATTATTATACAAATTATTAAAAAATGGCTACGCATTTGATTACAGCTGATTATATATATAATTTATATAATTTATTATTATATTATTTTTATTATTATATAAATATTTATTATATGTATATAATTTATTACATAAATATTAATATTAATATATAGTATAAATTATATTATAATATAATATATAATATAATATTGTATAAATATTATACAAATATTAATATTAATATATAGTATAAATTATATAATATAATAGTATATAATATATAATATAATATTATATAAATATTAATATTAATATATAATATAATATTAATTATATAAATTATATAATTTATTATATAATATTACAATAATATAATATAATAATAAATGATAAAGAGTTCGAATAAAACGACGTTACACGACGCGTCTTTTTAGAAAACTAGCGTCCGAATATTAATTAACTACGTACGTAATTATCACTTCCCCACTTTAATTAACGAGTAATAACATGTAGCAAATTGCCAGTACATTTTAATTGAAACAAAATACGCTAATTACATTTGTTCAGGGAAAGTAGAATTTCGTGCACGGCCTATTAGCATTACCCAAGAGAAGCACGTGGGCGAGGGCGAGGCGCGGTGGGTGAAAATTTCGAATACAATGTAAATTGTATTTAATACCTAATATAAACAGGCAGGATTTAGGCACCTGCTACGGTCTCTTATGTAGATGGGATCCGGGGCTCGGCTACCCAAAGTAAACTTGTCGAATTCGATCCACCTAGATAAGGGAAACAAGTGAAACTCTCCAGTCTCTTGGTGAATAAGGCGAAATTTCTTTTCGAATTGATAAATGTGGTAATAAAATGGCGAGCTAAAATTGCGACACTGTTTTAGAAGAACGTGGCGCAATCTACGAAGACAGATCTTTATTTGATACTGGAGAAACGTAACACTGTACAATGAACAGTTATGGAAGACGAAATCTACGAAAACACAGTATACATATGTATAGTAGAGTCTCGCTGAATATTATTTTGTTACTGAAATATTTATTTAATGAAATATTAATTGATATTTTAATAAATATAATAATGAATATTGTAATTAATAGATTAATAAATTATGCTGATGTATATTGATATTGATATATTATTATTATTTTAATATTCAAATTATATACTACTCGAACATCTTACTGTCCGAATAGAATATTTACTAGTAACAAATAGTTTTTCTTGCATTATTCTTGTATTCTGTATGTTATTATTACATGTTTGACGTAATTTTGTGATTTGTGTAATTGTCGAATGAACTTACTGAAATATAAGATAGAAGACTTTATCTTAGAAGAAAACAATATTAGTGGAATAGCTGTCTTTAATTCTGCGATTGTTGTCATTATTTATTCATTATTATTTAATTG